AAGGTATTTTGCTCCGGACGCCAGTTATGCTCACATCTCCGCTGGTTCATGGTTCGAATCTCGAGGGCATTGCATATTTTTCCCATCTCCTGCTAAAACAAAAACCGTAAAGACTCTGCAAACTTTATAAATTTTATGTTAAACGGTTAAAGTTTTTGTTTTTAAATTTAATTTTATACTTTGCACGCGAAGTTACACTTCTATTTTATCTGTACTATTATTAAATTTTAATACACTTATTTTGCAAAGCTTTCATCTAGTATAAAATGGTTATTTTGTACAACGTTTCAGAGCAGATCTCAGTATTTATTTGTATTTGCAAAATTTATGTGCCCTTTCCAAATATTTTTTCTCGGTCAAAGAGCGTTATTCTTGAAATAGTATTTTCTGTCTGAGAAGTTCGCAAGCAAGCATTCATGTGAGCAAGCCAGCATTTAAAGCTAGAATACTTGAAGTTTAAGAATATAGAAGCTTACCAAATGTACAGATATTTATTCCTTACAAGAATATTCCATATAATGCAGTCCTTTACAAATATATAACTATTTACATGTAAAATATTACTCATTTCGTATTCCTTCTTTCTTTATTTTGAATGCACCCTCACTGCAACGAAGTTTCGAAAGTAAAAGCCTACATATCTTTAGAAAAAGCAGCGGATTGCATTATATTTCTGATGCAAATTAAATGCAGCTTCAGAAGAACTGGTGTAGGAGAATTTCTTTCTGTATATATCCAGTCTTCTTTATCCCGCCGCCTTTCTTACTTCGGTTTTATTTATAATATTTAGTTCCTAGCTAGGGAAATGTTTACAACTTTTCATAATTTTGCTTACATTTTATATCCAGCAATGTCCGATATAACTGAATTCCAATCTCCCTAATAAAATTTGAAGAAATACTGAAATTTTCTATTTCTTTTGGAGAAAATAACTCATTTATATTGCAGCATGACAAAAATGAAGTTAAAATTGGGGAGGCATAATGTTTGTATGAAGAAAGAGACATGAAAATGGACAATGCCCTCGCCAGGTCTCGGACCTGGACCTCCGGAATACTAGTGTTTTTTATTTTGCTATAAGTATTGCTGGAAGACTGGCATTATTGAAATCATTCTGTAAACTTGACTGTGTAGGATTGCATAATGCATCTTGTCAGAATTAGTTCCGAGCAATTACATTCTGTGGTATTGAATAAGCGAATGTGAAACGTACAGTTTCTGGCAGAAATGAAAAGTCAGTATTGCCCATGAAATGCATATTGGGTATAAACTAAGATGTGTTACTTATGTTATGCTGCTATTTTTGCTGCATTTGTGTAAGATGCCTTGTATACAAAGCTTTTGATTTTAAAATCAAATGCGAGAATTTCTCTTCCGATGACGCAAAATTTGTTACTGCAAAATTTGTTAAGACTATTCACTATTTAAATCTTTGCTTCTGAAAGCTTGAGCATTTTCTTAGTACTGATGAATTTCTTAATTTGTAACGATTATTCCTATATTTCCAGAATTTGTATTTCAGAACTTCATGTACGTGCAAGCTGCACAGAAATATATGGTTAATATATGGAAAATGGTTTTTTAACTTAAACCGTTTGCTTAACCTGTGTGACTTTATGCCGGGGTAATTGTGCAGATTTCATATTCCATAGATGCAAATTTAATCCGTTTTTAGTTCTTAGAACAGGTTTCATATGTTTTCAGGCCTGTTTCAGATTTTTAGGTTCAAGAACCTAAAACACACGAATGCAAGATCTTTTTTCCACTCTTTTATAATTAAAAAATCACGTAAAACTGTAAATGCTAAGAAACGACTGTATAAATTAGCTGAAAACATGAATTTTCATGTTATTCTATGTCGTAATATTCTGACAATAGAATGACACACGAAGCTGATATTTTAGTCTGCGGAACTGCCAGTCCGGTTTGAGTTAGCATATGGGGGGACAGGTATCCCTGTTGAAGGAACTAGCTTTGCTTCAAAATTTAGATTGGGGACACACCAAGGATGTCTTTCTTTACTGCCCAACAGGATGGACAACTGGCCTGCTATTGCGCTTAAGCTGTTATTTCGTTTACTTTAGGGAGGGAAAAAAAGTAATGTTTGTGCACTTCAGGCGAAGGCCCGCAGGACATTACATGGGCATACTAGGCCCTTGAAAGGATATACATTGGAATCCTACATTGTCATAAATGAACGGCATATCATAAACTTAAAAGTTGCACTGCATAAATTATAGGATTATTTACATCAGTTTTATAGAATCACATACTGTGCCAGATATTATAGGAATTTACAGAATATATGCAAGTATTAAAAAAATAACTCACAGAAATATTTACGTACTATTTACAAAATAAGAGTTTAGACAACGTGGAGAAAATATGCGCGTTACAGATTAAACGTTATGTCAGACTGAGCAATGGTACACTGCGCGAAAAAAGGGGACAGTTCTATATCTCCCGTCCTACTGGGCTGATTGACAAAATTCAAATTGCATTTTTCATGTCACGGATACGCGACTTAGGATATATATTAGATTTTTATATATGATTGTTCTAACATAATCATTTTGACACAAAATCGCACTTTTTCTAAAGTAACATACCATTTTTTCCCATGTTTTGATTCTATAATTCAAATTATGACTAGATATTAAATTTTGTAAAATTTGGTACGAAATTTACGGAGAAATTCAAAAGTTTATCTTGGCGCATTTTTTTTCAGTTTGCGCTAAGAATAATTCACTTGGCGAACCTCTTAATATATGGCAACCAATTTTCCTTCCATTTCCATGATGCCGGAGCGGGAAAAAAGGCATATTGTTTTTTGGATAATTTTAGCAAAGTGTCTAAACCACATTTGATGTTTCATCGCTTTCAACAAATATGCCAAAATTCAAAACACGTCAATATATAAATTCACGTATATCTTCGGAAATTTTGAATTAAAAAACTGTAATTTTTTGCAGATGTGCTTAGAAATACGTCTACTTTAAGATGATGTTAAAAACTGTATAGATTATAACTCAAAAGTTTTTTTGAAAACTTTTTAAAAATTATTTAAAAATACAAATTTTTTAAATAAATCATAAAATATGGGTGAATTTAATTTGTAATAAACCTGAATTTCAAAATATGAAAGGAAAATCAAAAGTTTAATTAAAAAAGAGAGATTAATAAATATATACCAAACTCAATTAACATAGAGGAGCTAAATTTTTGAAAGCTAATTTTTTTAAAAACTACTCGCGTGATTTTTACAAAACTTGGTAGTTTGGCGTAATTTGAGTCGTAGAATGGGAATATGGAAAAAAATAGGTATTTTATTTCATAAAAAGTCCGATTTTGTATCAAAATACGTATATTAGAACAATATTATATATAAATCTAATACGTATCCTAAGTCGCGCTTTCGAGACGTGAAAAACGCAAGTTGAATTTCGTCAATCGGCCCAGTAGAACGGGAGATATAGAACTGTACCATCTTTTTTTCGCAGTGTACTTCGCAATATACAGTTCTGAGTTAGGAATTATGTGCTAGGTGAAAGGCCTAAATATTATCAGCATTAGCGTTAATATATCCAGTTACCTTGAAGAGCTTTCTTTAAACCTTCTTCATTTTCCATTAACCAAGCTTATTTTCAAAGTGCTCTGAGAGTTGCATGTCCTTTGTTAAGGTACATCCACATAGTTAATGTCTCAAATTGCCTACTTTGCCACTGATCCAAATCTCTAAGGAACTTATTTAGGTAATAGTTAATTTGAATTATTGAAATTTGGATGCTATATTTCGTAATTTAGCCTTCAAAGCATATATATTATATGTATATACATGTGATACAAAATTGCGTATGTCTACAGATAACATTGAGATAAACTAAAATAAAATAAACATAAAACTAAACTAAACTAAAATAAGCAAATAAAAACTAAAAAAGATTTGTTTAACTAATACTTAACCATCAAAACATGTTTAAAATGTCTGCCTTATGATTTTCGAATATGCAAATATTTATTTAGTTGTTGGAATTGAAATCGAAAATAATCCTAATACCTGCTAGCCTTAATTTAGTGCAAAGTTTAATTTTAAATTTATAAAATTTAATCTTATACGTTTTGCACGGTCTAATGGCAGATTCATTAATTATATCATTACATCTAAAAAATCAAATAAAATAAAATTTCAGTTACTTCAGTTTTTGCGCTTTTGCGGCTGGGGATGATGGTTCTGTAAAACCATCGAAACTAGTCCTGTGAAATTTGAAAATATAACGCTCATTTTTGTTGTTTGACTTCTAAATTAATATTTCAGTTACTTATTTTATAGCCATCATAATCCATTACAGTTATTCATACTATTACATGATTCTTGTAATTTTCTTCGAAATTCAGAGATTCGTAACGCTTTTTATTTATTATTTACGGTAATGGAAATAAAGTTATTCGTATTACGAAAAAAATCCGCATGTTGATATCTGGAGTAGTAATGCTTTTCTTGCGTGCCTCAAAACCCGATTCTATTTCGCTCAATAAAAGTTTTATTGAAGCTCCAAGAAAATCACTTCGAGTCAATAGCATATAAAACTTTCATTCAGGGAATTCCACGTAATATATTGATTGCCGCTTCTGAAGTATTATTTATTTAGCTGGAAGTATTCCATGTTTTCCTCTCATGTTTTTTAACTTCTCGGTGCGTGCCAGTAGAATCCTTAGGAAATATTAAATAGAAAGAAAAATAGAGAATCATTCGACCTGGAAATTTTTCAAAAGAAAGTGCCTCGAAGCACTTTTCGGCAGAAAACTTTCTCGGAGAGAAACAAGAAGCTAACGTTTACCAATTCGTTTTATCTTTGACAGCCTGAGGCGCATTTCCAGTCATTTAACCGCTTATCAACTTTAAAAAAATTTTGCAGCTGAGCTCGAAAAAAATAAAAATATATGAAAATCATTCCGCAGATATTAAAGCTTTTTACTTATTATTTTATGTTATTTTTCAGGGAGCTTTCGGCATAGTTAAGCTGGCATACAATGAAGAAGACAATACCCATTACGTAAGTATAAATATTTTCCTGCTTCTCCCATTGAATACTGAAGATAGTTTTCTTTTCCAATTTAATGCCATAATCAATCATTCAAGCTTTATTTTTTTTTCGAGAATACCCTATGGTATTCACCTGTTCAAATTATTAAAGTAATAGTTGTTTTTGCGTGTATCGACTTTCAGGTAAACGATGCATCGAAGGAATATATAGGCGCAATGCAAGAAGAAAATCTTTCATTTTGCCCCTAATTGTAGTAGTTTTCTTTCTTGTCAATATTTGGTTTTACGTCAAGAAATATAAAAAAGCAGTCTGCGCACCTGATGTGTATTGTAATTAACAAGTTCAGTCCAGGCCCTGAAGATAACCAAACACATGGCATCCCAATATTGAGAGGAAGTACTCAAGAATCCAGAAACCTCAGACTTCACTTCCTTGCCATCAGCCATACGAGATTTTTGTACCGATAGATTTTACGTGCCCATACGGACTACAAATACAAAAATCGCTATACATGGGACACCTGGGATACCTGGGACATGTATCCAAGCTCAATAGCGACGTGTAATAGGTGCTTTCTTTACCCATCGTAACAGAGGGACAAATTGTTGACGGCAATAGTTGCGAAACTCTGTGAAAATGCAAACATCTGTAAAACATGTTTCACATACTTTAGAATGAAACTTAGTATCGATACTGTATAAAAAAGTGCTTATTAACTCTGTCTTCTTCCAAACAAGTGTCTCTATGCTGGGTACGTAGTCATCAAGGTACCCAAGGTAACGAAAGGGCCGACTCCTTAGTTAAAGAAGCCACGAGTCACCCTTCCATAGACTCAGAGATCCCACTCTCCATAGTCGCTGCCAAACACAAGATCTTTTGTCCATCTCGTAAGCTCTCTGGGACGACTCGGACAGCGGTCGGCAAACCTACTTCATCTTTACCGTGGTCTCCACCAAGAGGCTCAAAACAGACTTCTATCTACTACAAGCTTTCACAAATCACGGAAGATTCCCCATGTACCTCAGCTGGTTCTGCCATTAAAACGTCAAATGCGCCTGCGGTGCTTCAGCTTTTTCAGCAGATGTCTCACATTACATCCATGACTGTCCAGTCACTTCTCCCATCAGATCCTCTCTACCTCAGCTCCAGGGATCACATAGCCTCAAAGACCTTCTGCAAGGATTACTACGGACAGCAGGGCGTTAGAACCATCATAGAATATGTCTATTCTAAGAAAAACGTTATCATATCAGTTAACCAGATCTAGGTACCTGACTAAATGTAAAGCCAGCAAGCTCCATTCATGTATATATGTAAATATCTCTAAACTAACTAACACGTTTTGCTATTTTTATACTAACGTACCCAAAACATGGTAAGTTGAAGTACCCAACAAAAGTAATACACTAATGTTAAATCTGTTTATCAATAATAATGTTGAAAAGATAAAGAACCAAAAAAAAAAAAAAAGGTTGCTGATGTAACGATCAAGATAACATGACTGACCTGTAGTGCCCATTGAGAGGTGAAGTAGGCGAAATAATAATAAATGAATATCACCATGTTAATCTCGTTGTAAGTGATTCTATAGATTAAATAGCAGTATTTTTTGTAACTTCACATTATATCCGATTTATTCTGAACTACAGCTCTTTTGACGATAGGCGTCTGAAATGAGTAAGAAAACACTGCACCTGTGCTGTTTTGTTTCGTATCTACTCTTCGGTGTTAAGTGCACTGAAGACTTATAAATAGTGATACACCTCATATATTGGCATTTTTTACAAGCATTCATTTCTGTCTTGGAGTCTTTGAAAAACTAGACACATCATGAATATTTTTAAGTGATTTATTATGCGGAAGCAGCTTAATGGAAACTTATTTTGGAAAGTGTCACCTCTAATGCGGTCATAACACGCAATAGAGTGACACAAGTTAAGCAGGCAACAGAATAACGCAAACGAAATTTTCAAATATGCCGACTTAGAGGATCTTTAATTACGGAGTGTTTTTACTGTACTGTATAGTATTCCTAAGTGACAAGGACGTAATGTAAATGTAAAGCTGCCGTGATCAACTATTTGAAGTAATTATTTTTATGAGCGTCCGTTTCAGACCTGGAAAGACTATTACAAAAATGCGTAATAAATATAGTCTTTTAAATACGTATTTCTTAGCTGTATTCAAACTCCATTGCTAAATGTTTCCAGAGTATATGTGATCTCTTAGAATGTTGCAATCTGTCCTTAACAGTAGTTATCGTTAGATTTACGAGACCCGTCATTTTGACGGCTTCAGGAGCAAAAGTGCAAAAACCACTACTTTTATATTTTTCTGATTTATGCTGATAATTATCGATGTAACGAGGCGAATGCATACCTAAATTTATTTCCCCTTCAGTCCTTTAATTTCAGAGTTTTGTATGAGGTATACCTTCTTCTACGGATACCCGTCAAAATGACGGGTAAGCTAGTTTCATAGTTAATCGTATTAAACAGTTTTTTATTAAATTATTTTTCTGTTGACAGATGTAATGATAGCTAGAACGTAGATGCTAAATAAAAATCACATTTTCAAAGGAAATATCTTTCGATAGCTTCGAACCCAGTGTCAACGTACCGCAGTTCTCCAAAGCAAGGGATATGTCACGTGTGGTGTATTTAATTATGGCAAAGCGCACTAGGGCTGTCTGCCTAAGGGGGAGGGATGCTTTCGTGGAGGACTTTCTAAGGGAAACTGGCTCGTATGCACGTTACACGTGGAGAAAACCACGAAACACCTATGCAGCCAGCCCGTTCGCGGGATTCGAACCTCGGACCGAACCACCAGTGTTCAGCGACTTCACCGCTCGGCCGCTGGTGGGCCTTATGTCACGTGTGATTATCTGTTAATCGTACGTACGTAAAGCGTAAACATTAGCTTCAAGACTAAGGAATGGTCTGCATTCGTTGAGTTCCAGTCAGTGTGTCAAGCTATTTTAGAAAAAATTCAGTTAGTGCGAGTATAGACGATCCGAAACTAAGAAGAAAGTGTTGCATTATTATTTGTATTAGTAGTATCATATAATTAGAGTAAAGTGCTAGTTTTACCTCATTCTTACTTTATTCTATTACTTTATTATATAAAATAACCTTCTTTAGTCATCATGTTTAACTCAAGAAGTAATAAATTGCTAAAGAGAATATGTAATATCAGAGAAGATTGCTCTGGTACAAGTTCTGGTAAATCTATTAACACTAAAGGTACCATAAACCGTATAACGGGATTATAAGAAGAAAGGAGTAAAATTTTGGCGTCGTATTAAGCGAAAACAAATTGTTGCCTGCAGCGTAAACAAAAGTAATTTACATGTTTCGTCGCATCGTCATCGGGAGTTTACTGCAACGAAATATTTAAGTATATACGGTAACGAGTCAGTTTAAATAGACAGGATTGACTTAAGCATTTCCTTCCCAAATTCTAGCTTGAGTTTTAGTTTTGGTTAGATTATTTACTTATATATCTCTTTATTAGCAAATTGGGCTTACTTCAGCATCTAAGTCTTAAGGAAGCCCTCTTGATAACGTATTTCGTTTTCTGCCTTTATTCTGTTACGTATAATTTGTAACGTTAAGCTTAATTTATCGTTTGCATTTTCTAAGATCGGTTCACATCCAATAATGTTTGCTGACGGTTACTAGACACTGTCCTTTCTTCATCATACATAATTTTATACCTTGCATTTTTAATACCACTTGCTTTTTATGAATTTTGTCTTTTAATCACTACAATTTTATAAACTTCTTCGAAATTATGTTTACACTTAAGTATTACGGTTTTTTCGATCGGTGAAATTAGAAAACAAATTAATTTGGTACTAAGAACTCCCTTGAACTGATTTGCGTGAATAGTGCTTGTTCCACTTTTAACAATTTGTATTACTTTGTTTGTATACTTTGTTTGTATACAATACTTTGTTTGTATTAGTATTGTTGTGTCTAGTATTTATCTCTGCAGTTGTTTTATTTAATGCTTAATTATCTGTTAGCATAAGTGTCTGTATTGCATGTGCATCCTGCAATATTCATACTTCAAACATATCATGTTTGATACCATCTGTATACAATCAGCAAATACCATTCCTTTGCATTTCTTAGCATCTGGCCCTTGTTTTGGCATTATATATTATAAATGAACTCCCGTTGTGGTGCTCTTGGAGCATCAGAAGCTGCTTGTCCTAGACAGTTAGGGCTGTGGACAATATCCGAATAGTCTACGCAAGCTGCCCGGATGTTCAGATCCGCTTTCATCTGTTGCCTGTCCTTGAATTAGAACTTCCTAAAATAGTCTGACTAACTATTGTAGGAATATGTAGATGTGCCATCTTTTTATAATACTCTTTATAGTATTTGGTAATATGCAACTTCGTTAACGAAATTATTAAGGACAAAGAGAGGCCGCATGGTATCGTATAAATCAGAAACTGTGAGAGTATTCATTATGAACATTTTAACAATATATTTTGAAGATATTTCAACTAATTTCAGAAAAAAGCGGATATAAAGGATGATCTCTATCTGTTTATGCAGAGTAACAGCAGACAGACGTTGTGTAGTTTAAACTGATTTGAGGTTTATGATAAAACGTTTAATTTTGGTTACATAGCTGAAAAAGTAGACATCTCTAAAACTTTTAACTGAAATAATTAATATATTCTGTTACATAGCAACGTTTTGGAAACTTAAGCACTAGAAATTAGTTTTAGATATTCGAAATAGTTTTGAAGCTTTCTGTTTATACGAACAATCATGCTGATCATGATTTATGGGAAATCATGCTAAAGTGGACTAGAAGTGAAGCGAATTTTCTTTTATAATTCATTTTGAAATCTGATTTCGATTTTCTGACTTTTTTCCTACCCAGTACGTCTTCGGTAAAAATAAAATTACCACGAGTTAGTCACTTTAATTTTAAGAAAAAGAATACAAACTTTTCCGTTCTTTTAAAATAAGCAATATTTGAAAAGAACT